GGGGGATGTGGGGGGAGATGGGGACATGGAGGAGTAAGAAAGGACATGAGAGGGAAATGTGGGGCGACGTGGGGCTGGAGGGGACCCCGGGGGGGGGGGGGGGGGGGAGTTTTGGGTTCCCCCTTGCTCACCACAGCACCAGGGTCACGCAGGTCCTGGGCTGACAGCCCCAGGCTCTCAGCATCCAGGCGGTACAGCCCCGGCTCCTGCCTCCATTTCAGCCTCTTGGAGCTGTCAGACCCGGCGTCGGCGCAGGGACACAGCACCTATGGGAGTCACCATGTCACCACCGCATCCCCCGACACCCCCCAGACCCCCGACCCCCACCCCCGGGGGGTCTCCGCCGTGCCACCCACCTCCAGCAGGGTGTAGCAGGAGTTCTTTTTGAGGAAGGTCCTGGAAGCTTTGTCCCTCCACGAGTGAGCCGTGCCCACCTGCACCTCCAGCTGCCTCAGCTCCTCCAGGCGCACGGGCAGATCGCGGCCCACGGCCACCAACCCCTCCAGGTCATCCAGGCATGGGTAATGATCCCCGTTCTGCTTCAAAACGACCCCCACCCCGCAAAAAGTAGGAGTTACAAGGAGTTAGAATGATGGGTTGGGGGGAAGGGAGATTTAAGGTGGCGCGGAGCACGCACCTGGATCTCCTCCACGTCAGCAATCCACGCACGGGCTTTAGCCAGCGCTTCCTTAAGGGCAGCGATGTTGGGGAGCAGAGCAGGGATATTCTCTGCCTCCTTAATGATGGCGGCCAGCGTGGCTGGGGGGTGCTTCTGCCTGTGGGGTGGGGGGAAAGGTGGGTGAGATCTCATAGGGTTGTCCTTCATATCCCCCGTGGGCCACCTTAAATCCAATCGGGGCCCTTCGTATCTCCTCTCCACCTTAAAAGCCATCTGGGGCCATGTAAACAGCCCCCGGACCCCTATATCCCAGAGGGTCCCCCCTTACATCCTGTACGGGCCACCTTAAATCCTTAGGGGCCCTTGCTATCTCCTCTGGGCCACCTTAACTCCCCATCAAGGCCTTTCACATCCCATTGGGACCACCTTAAAGCCCATCTAGGGTCATGGGGACAGCTGCCAGACCCCATAGAGCCTCTCCTTACATCTCATAAGGACCACCTAAATTCCATGGGGGCCCACCCGCTCTCCCCCCCAGTGCAGCCTACTTGAAATTCATAGGGGGTTCTTCATATTCTACATGGGCCACCTTACACTACATAGGGTCCCTTTAGGTATCAACAAAGCCACCTTAAATCCACAGGAGCCCTTCATATCTCCTCTAGGCCACCTTAAATCCCATCGCAGCCCTTCATATCCCATAGGGACCACCTTAAAACCCATTCAAGGCCATGGGGGCAGCCCCCAGACCCTCATATGCTAGAAAGCGTCACCTTAAATCCCCCGTGGGGCACTGGGACCCCCCTTAAAAAGGCATTTTGGGGGTTGCCAAAAGGGAACTAGGATCCCATTGATGGGCACCAGGACCCAACTAGGACCCCCAAAAAGGGCACAGGACCCCCAGAAGGATACTGGGACCCCATTAATCATCACTGAGACCCCCCAAAAGCCCACAGGACCCCATTAATGGGCACCAAGACCCCCAAAAGCCCACAGGACCCCCCTGCACCTCCCCTTCCACCCCTCAGACCTGGCTTCCAGACACATCTGCGCCTTCTCCTCCCAGCGCTGGGCGATGGTGAGCAGCTCCTGCAGTTCTGCCATGGCCACATCCACGGCCGGGCCGGGGGCCACAGTGCGACCCGCCTGGATCAGCCCCCGCATGACGGGGAGGGGGACGCGGGCGCGGGGGGAGCGCAGGGTGGCCGTCACCTCCTCCAGCCATTGGCTCTGAGCTAACTGAAGTTCCAAACGCCGACCTTCCGGCACTTCCACCCCCAAACGGGCGCCGCGTTCTAAAAGACCCCTTAAAGCCCCCGGTCCTGGGGGGGCAGCTCCGGGTTCTGGGGGGGTCGATTCTAAAACGGCGCGGGCTTCAGCTTGGAAGGCTTCCACGCGGTCCAGGAGGGCCTACGGGGGGGAGCGAGGGGGTGGTGAGCCCCCCCATGGGGGTATAGGGGCATTGTGGGTGGGGGGAAGAGGCTGGTGGGGTGATGAGACCCCCAGAGGGGAAGAGAAACATTGTGGGAGGGGGGAAGGGGATGGTGGTGGGGGGAGGCCCCCCCAAGGAGGTACAGGGACACCGGTAAGGGTAAAGGGACATAGGGTGGGGGAGAATAGGGTTGGTGGTGTGGGGAAGCCCCACCACTGGGGTTACAGAGACACTGGGGAGGGTGAAGGAGGGAGGAAGGACCCATTTTGGGGGGGGGGGGGGATTCCTCCA